ACCGCTAAACCCTAAACCCTAGGGTTTAGGATTAGGGTTGAGGGTCAAGGCCAGGGTTGAGCTGCCATGCACCTGGAGTGTCTAGAAGCATCCACGTAACATTACAGGAAGAAGGCCCTAAAGCCCAAACCCTAAACCTGTGGTTGCGGTGGTTCTATATTGTCACGTGATGGCCCAACATTTTCCATGTCTCATGAATGAACATGCAAAGAAGGCTTACATTCTAGGAACAAAACTCATCAACCCCCCCAACCCCCATGAAAATATGGGATTGCGTATCGATACTACTGTGGAGTAGAGTTAGGGAGATGTGTTGCTTATGTTAGAGGATGAAGCTTCTTTGATTGGAGGCCAGGAGCCAGCAAGGGCAGAATTGCTTTCACTGAGGAGCATGGAAGTTTGAAGTTTGTAAGGTTGAGTCGTCTAGCTTAAACATAGTCCCCCTAAGCCCGAAACAATGCCATTTGAAAGTTTATTCGAAGTACCCTATACTATAATTCAACAAAGAACCTAGAACCATTATATTGGTGATCATTTACACCTTATAGACTCGGCCTCCTTGCTCTGTGTCACAGCACCTGGGTCTTTCTAGAAGCTGGCGTACCCAAAAAATGCGCTCTCCGTGGTTCAACTCTTTTTGGGAGAGCCTCGTTGATAGCCTGTAGGGTTTAGCCGTTATGGGGTTTAGGTTGTTAAGGAGATTCGCAGTGAATTCCAGGCAAGCGCCCCGACTATGCAGCCCCAAATCTTCATTTTCAACCCCTAATTAGCACATCCCTATTAAATATGTGTGTATATGTAGATACATATGCGTACATATGTTTTTTTTCTATGGGTGGTTGTCAAAATTATGGTCCCTTTTTGGGTACCCTAAATATTAGGTGCCGTATTATAATAGGGACCCAAAAGGGACCATAATTTTGACAACCACCCATGTAGGATAACCAGATTTTCCATGGAATATGCCTGTCTAATACAACCCTTAAGAACGCACCTATAGTCAGATGATGCCTCGAGCAATTCCTTATACCCTAAGGGATTTGGAACCCCAGTAGAAATTATAATTTCAGCTAAATATTAGGATTGTTGGTAACAGAAATTACTAATTATTTTCAGGAACCTTGTGGGGTTTAGGGCTTAGGGTTTAGAGCTTAGGGTTTAGGGTTCTTTTAGGGCTTAGGGTTTGGGGTTTAGGGCTTAGGGTTTAGGCCTTAAGATTTAGGGTTTAGGGTTACAGCATAACCCCCACTTAAGAGGCACTGCCATTACATGGACTAATCTGGCTTGCTGCTAAGGAGTTTGATTTGAGTTACTATTATTTGGGTATATGGGAAATAATGGGGTTTCCTGATTAGAGGAACTCACCCTAAACCCTAACGATACTTTAGCAGCTTAATTAACGTTCCTTAACAGAAACCCAGTAATGCATGAAGCATAGCCTAAACTCATAGAATCCCCTTTAATAACCCTATAATAGTCCCCTACAAAATCCCGTAAATAACCACCCATTCAGGAGTTTAGACTATAACTCACATGCATCAGGTTGCAGCCCCAGAGTAAATCTGACAATCAATGTCCTTGGCGGACCCCCTTGCAATAGTGACCAAAAGGGATCATGGTAATTAGGTCAGGGTCCTCCAATATTCCTCTTGTACCACTATTACACTATTAGGGAGTCTACCTTACCAGGCACCTGCTTGCAACATTGGTTTCTTCCTTTCATACAGCTCCTACAAACCCTGCACAATACTAGTTCCCAGTTCATGTTACAATGTTCTTGTCCATTTGATTCGAAACTCTAGGTCTGCACCTACATACCCTATGTACCCCTGTAGATCCCTAGAGTTTTTCATGTATCCCTACTGATCCCCTTGTACCTGCATAGTTGCTACATATCCCTACATCTCCTTGAATTTCCCTATTCATGCCTGTATACCCCTCATATGTCCCTACATATGCCTATGTAGGTCCCCGCCTGCTTCTGCAGAGAGTCCGCCTTGCCTTTTACTGGCTTCACCTCCACTTTGCCGCCCACCTGCTTTTCTTTTTAAACAGGGCTCCCCCTACTTGAAGGGTCAGGGGGACTTGAGTACGATAATAATGGGGACAACTGGGGTTGTTCTATTGCTCCTAGGGGTTCTTATACTACTTACTAAGTCCAACCGACCCTCCAAGTAGTGACCCCCGGACGAGATGCAGAGCAATTCTGTAAGGTGATTGCAAAGGCTTGCCCTGAGGATTAGACGCGCATTGTTGTGAGAACCTTCCAAATGGAAATTTCTTACACCTGTGGCTCTTGTCTCCATTGCAGGCAAGATACGAGTCGCATGCATGAATGCATGCATGCATGCATACATACATACATACATACGTACATACAGACAGCGTCGTTGAAACGACTTCTACGATATGGCCCGCAGACAGGGTCGGCCTGGTCTGCCGGGGCTTCTGTATGGGCGTCTACTTTACAACTTCCCTAGCCTAGATACGTAATGTTGGCAGGTTCCCCGGTAAGCCCCTAATAAGGAGGAGATTCCAAAATCAAAGGGAAAAAGGGTGCTACTGTGGTACCTAGTCGATGGTGTCCTAAACTGAAACCATGAAAAGAGATGTTACAAGATCGCTGCAAGCACGCAGACCATTTTGCGCATACCATATGCGGAGATCAACAACTCATGCTGCTGTGGATAAACAAGCTGTATGCACTAGCTCGCGTATTTGGGGGTTGAGGGTCTCTTTGTGCAGTGCCAGGGTTTGTTACCTATCAAAATTGTCGTGGGACTCTCCCTACTCAATAATTTGCTGCCAGCCACCTGCAGGTCGACGCCGCCAACGAAGATGCATGTGGTCCGCACAGAATTGCAGTCAACAGCCGCTGCATTTCGCTTTTGTGTGGCAGCTTGCAGCGTTTTCTGCATGGAGGTCACAAAGGTGTTGTGCGAGTCTGCAGCTACTCTCTGTGCCTCAATGAGCGCGTTGTACTTCTCAACTTCTGCATTGTAGGATTTTACGGACGCGCTGCTGTACTGGTCAACGCTCTTGTGAGCATTCTCGACAATGCTCTTCTGCCTTTCAGCCGAGCTCTGCAAATTTTCCAGGTGTGCTTGCTTCTCCTTTTTGGTGGCTTGAAACTGCGACATCAAGTCGTGAAGCTCTTTGTCCAGCTTTTTGAATGATGTCTCTTCCTGAAGCCCCTTTTCATGCACAGCACATAGGGCAGGCACATTCTCCTCAGGGAAGTCCTTCGGCACAGAGAACTGTGGGACGCAATGCTGCAGCGCCAGCTCCTTGGATCCAATATGGTCCTCCAGTAGCCAGTGTGTTACTGCAAGCAAGGCGGCCATGCGTTTGCAGTGCAGAAGCTCCGGCACAAAGCGTGCCACAATATCGTAGTTTCGATTCAGATACTCAGCCACGCGTGCGGCCGAAGTGTGTGGCTGCGAGCTCTTCGCATCTTCAAACTTGTTGGAGCTCGCGTTGAAGGATTGTGCCCGCACTTCGCAGCCCATCATGACATCCTCTGGATAGATCAGGAGGCCACTGGCACCCACAGGTCGTCGAACCAAAGAACGGCAAACAATCCACAGCCTGGCACAGCCAGCATCCCCTTGAGCAGCCTCCAGGACATCAGTCAGAGTAAGAAGGGTTTAGGGTTCTAGGGGTATAGGGTTCTAGGGGTTTAGGGTTCTAGGGGTATAGGGTTCTAGGGGTTTAGGGTTCTAGGGGTATAGGGTTCTAGGGGTTTAGGGTTCTAGGGGTTTAGGGGCTATGATGGAGAATCACATGGAAAAGAAGATGTAAACGGGATTATATAGGGCTATATAGGGTTTAGGGTTTATAAGGTCGCCAGCGGGAATTGTAAAAGCAGGCAGCGGAGTAGGACTAGGTCGGAGCCTAGAAGTAGAGTGGGAGTGAAAGTTGGGATAAGAGTTGTAGTAGTACTAATAACAGTAGAAGTAGAAGAGACGTAGAGGTAGGAGAGACGTAGAGGTAGGAGAGACGTAGAGGTAGAAGTAGACGTAGAGGTTAGAGGTAGAGGTAGGAGTAGAAGAAAAAATAGTGATAGCGGTAGGAATGGTACTAAGAAAATCGTAATAGTTACTAGCAGCTTGGTCCAGCCAGGTCCTAGCGGAGTCATGCAAATTTGCAGGGCGGTGAATGGAGGGCATGTACTGTACTTCTTAGAATAATAAAGTAAAGTATAGGGTTTAGGTCCAGGGTTTAGGGTTTATATGAGCTATAGTCTAAACTCCCAGTTTCCCCCTTAATATACCCTGTAGTACCCCCTTATATAATCCCCTATAGAACCCCCTTCAAGGAGTTTAGACTGTAGCTCATATGGAGTGACAATAGCTTGGAGGGCCCCCGGCTTCAGGGAAGTCTGCCGGAACGTCAACACCGGGGCGCAGAGCTCGATGGCGGCCGGTGGCATCGTCGTAGAACATGCCTATCTGGGTACTGTAGAATTTAGGGTTTAGGATATATGGTTTAGGGTTTAGGATTTATGATGCAGGGTTTAACATTTAGGGTTTAGGGTTTAGCCTGTCTGGGTACTGTAGGGCCCTACAGGGGCTCCCATGCAGTTCCACTTTGGGTCTGGTACAGTTTTTGGGAAAGGGACTATGATATAGGAACCTTTGGGCGGATACTTAAAACAGGGCGGTTTGGGGCCTTGGGGATGAAACATTCTAGGGTTCGGTACTACTATAAATTCATATACACATCCTGTATATGTATACAACTACATAATATGATACAAATCCATATTCCTGAGGGTCACTCGTAGAACGAGCCTCCGAGGTGAACCTATTCTACCTGCTAGGCCTTGATATACAGCACACTGAAGAGCTCAAAGCAAACACAAAGCTTGCAGCCTACATACCCCTTCAAACCCTGCACCTTACACCCTAAATCCGTAGCCCCCAAAACTACGCCGCATGTATTTCACGTACTTGACATCCTGGGTGATCCCTGGATGGTCTTTGGAACCCTAAACCCTAAACCCTATTGCTCTGAAAGCCCGGCAGGTATAGGGCTTAGGGTTTACCTTGTTGTCCAGAATAGTAGCTATAAAGGGTGCATGGGTTATAACCTCGTGATAGCTTGAGTGTTTGCCGTGTTTGCCTACCTAGTTCCCCAGACTATGCTTGACCAAGCTTCCAAAATGCTGCTTCCAAATTTGATGGGACTCACCCAGCCCCCGCTCCCGTCAATAATACATATTCCCTGCATAGATGATGGTACCATACTGGGGGGATCACGATTAGGGGGTTAGAATGTGAGAACGTTCTGGGCCAGACGGCCTTGGGAGAGCTGTTTAAGCTTCCAGTCCGCTCGCCACATCCAGTAGCCCAGCGGCAGTTCGCGCAAGGTTGTGTCGGAATACCTTGCTGAACTTACTGGCGGTTAGTAGGGAAGAAGAGAACATAATCCCAGACTATTCCCATATACTAAATTCACTAACCCTCAGTAAGTGAAATCATGGCGTCTCTGCCTTAACATGCGACAGCTCTAGGGAAGCGGCGGGGAAGCAGACAGAACAAGACAGGCATGAAAGAGATTCTGACACCAGCCCGAATAGTCGAAGCTCCTCTACCTTGTCAGCGCCAACACTGTCATATTGTTAACGAGAATAATGGTGCACTACAGGGCAAGAGAGGTTCCTTTTCTTCATTGCTTACGTCGAAATAGAGAACAAGAATGTGCGTGGAATAGAGCTTAAATAGACCACACGTCGAAAACGCGGGGATGGGGCGGGTAGGGGCTGGGTGATGTAAACTGGGAAGAAGCTTTGAAAAGCTGGAGGTACAGCCATGCTTCTTTTGATTCTCGCTTCTCGGGAAGCAGAAGCAGAGTCTGCAAATCCCATATACAATCGCACCTTATTTCTACTCCGAATGATGGTCTGATGTTCCGGATGTAGCTAGCTCACTTGCTTCAAGATGTTCAGCAGTAAGGTGGCAAAGGTACTTCTTCACTGCCTACGTTAGACATTCCAGCTAGTGCCTGAACAACACTAGTTGAGCTATAGTCTAAACTCCTAGTATCCCCCTTAATAACCCCTATAGTAGTCCCCTATATATACCCCTATATAACCCCCTTTAAGGAGTTTAGACTATAGCTCAGTTGCAGCTAGACTGGCGCACCACTCTCGTTGGCCAATTCTTCTAGAGTTCCAGAGTTCCTGAACTTTGAGATACTTGGGGTATAGGGTTGGTTTAGGGTTTAGGGTTTAGGGTTTAGGATTAGGGTTAAGGGTCTAGGGTTTAGGGTACATGAGGTCTCGCAGGGTAATTTCCATAGGCAATATCAAGTCACCATTGCTAGGGGCCTTTTGGCCAAGAAGCCATTTTCGCTGGAAAAGGCCATCCGCAGAGTCTATTCGCTCCTTCCATTGATAAGAAATGCCACATGTTGCATTCTTGGACATGCAGTAGCCATGATGGGTATAGAAGCTCAAACACGTGTCGCAAGTTTCTCTCCTAAACCAGGAAAACAACCCAGACCTGCGAGAGTATGAAAAATAACCCCAATCTGTTAAATACCCTGTACTGCGATATCTGTTGATTTCTATGATACCCTTGGAGGGAGCTAATTTCTAGATCCTCCCAGGGTCAGGGAAGAGGATCGTGTGAGAAGGCTCCTGCCACCGCTTCGGATCCACTGGATCCAGACTGAAGGCTACCTGATGAATTTTTCAGTGGACATCATATGGGAGCTTGCAAGAAGGAGCCTTGGATTTCAATTTTTGGAGGGTGTCTGAGGGGCCCCACTTGAGAAAACTCACATGTCGCCATCATAAGGCTACAGCGCTTTAGGGCACCCTGGATTTTCATCAAAGCCCTAAGCGCTGCAAACGAAGGGAAGATGTCCATGGCCAGCTAATCAAGGCATGTGCGCTCGCAATGATATAGGCTGAAGAACTGATAAGAAAGAATGGTCTAGCAATGCAACGAAGAGGAACCCGCAGGCCGGTAAGTATCCAAAGGTTTGCGTAGAGAAAACAGGACGGTGGCAACCACTTCCCTTCCCGGTTGCTCAGCTTCAAGGTTTCACAAACTCATAGCCCGCAACCCGTTTTCGATCCGAAATCTTGAGCACAGACCCTTCTAAGAGGCTCGCTTGGCTGTAAGCGGGAGCACTAGCCTCGCTTCTGACCATCCAGGATAGCACCCTGAACCCCAACCCCTACTATAGAATCTGAGCACTGAACGCTCAACCCTGCTTCCAACCCTGAACTCTATAAAGACCAAAGTTTTCGTGAGACCCTGCCTGCTCGGCCTGGTGCGGATTTCTGTGCATCCAGTCCAGGGTGGTGCCAATTCTGGGCGGAAGTAGGGACTACTTGGAGTTTCATGGATAGTTACAACTGCTGATTCGTGCATATTTGTAGGAGAAGAGATTCACGGTAGTTGCAGGGAGGGTTGTATAATTACTTACTTCTTGGTTCTTAGTAGGGAATAAGGGAATACAATCCCTACAGAATCTATTCCGTTATTCCCTACTGAGAACCAGTAAAGTTATATGAGCCCTGGACTAAACTCCTAATATTTTCTTTAATTAACTTAATAGGTCCCCTCCTCGAACCCAATAGATTCCCAAATAGGTCGCCCCCAACCTGACTTTAGTCCCTAGCTCCCTAAACCCCAAACCCCGTATTCCCGACTAAGAAGATTATGTATGGGCTTGGAGGGTCAAAGGAACCTAGTAAGTAGGGGGTTTAGGGTTTATGGTTTCAGAGTTTGGGTAACAGGGTTTAGGGTTTGGGGGTTTACGGGTTTGGGGGCTTACAGTGGGGATAACTGAGGTCACTACAATGGCTGACAAAAGTCAATAACAAAGGCCCCCTGACCCTCCATGCACCTCCTCTGAAAAGAATGAGGGCTCCTTCTAGGGCTAGCTCATGGAAAACGGATGCAAAACTGGTTGAAGGCACCTGCTGGAATACCTCCCCGTCTTTTTGGCCTTTGCCACCCTGAATCCTAAAGCCGAAGCAGTTTCTAGCCTCTTCCCAAGTTTCTCGACTTTTTTGCCGAATCCCCATGCAGTCTGCCTTATGAGACTTCTTGCACGGCCCAGCAGGGTAGAGCTGTGAAGCACCCCACTTTATGGACACTACCGTATTAATGGCCTGTAGCGTTTATAAAGGCTAGTATGGGGACTGGGGAATCTTGAAGCTGCAGCCAGTAGGTTGCGTTGGCGGCATGTTCCACTTATGACTAATGATTATTGCGTATGTTCGTCACGCAACTGTAACTATTGAACATGGATATCAGTCGGAATGCATGTCCCACTTCGGAAGGCCATTGGGGGGTACAGGCAAGGAGCCGCAAGCACTGCCTTTAGTTGTCCCATCTTAACCATTGGGGCTATGGCTATCATACTGCTAATAGAAAAAACTGCATAGCGTCAGTATACGTGCCATAATCCCATACTTCCCAAGGTATAAGATACTAGGGTCATTCAAGATTTGGTGGGCTCCACCGTATCTCATGACAAGCTGAATTATGAA